TTTTTTTTTTTAATCAAAATTTTGATATATGATTTTGATGTTGCTTCTCGAAAAAAGTCAATTATGATAAAAGTAACACGTTAAGTAACCGATCAATTCAAGATGAAGCATCATATGTAAACACGGCAACAGAACAATTACAGAACGCGATGAATTCTCTTGCTCATTTCAAGGAAATTGTTTCGAAATTTAACGTGCCTTCACAATTGCAAATGAATACGTCGTGCTCTACCCCAACCCCAAAGATGGAACATAAGAAAACGCGCACATCAAATTTAAGACAACCATCTTTCTCTTCGCGCTTGAAACCACCCGTTCAAAGACGCTTAACTTCTACGGAAACGGTTCGCCACACGACGAATAATTACTCTGAGGATAATAAATATGCATCTAACTTGTCTAATTCAAAACTTTTACGCACACCTTCTGCTAGACCAAAAAAATGACTAATTGATACATATGAGATATAAACTCATTTTTATTTCCACTTTTCAATTCATGATGACAATTAAATTGTCTTTAGCTTTTTAAGAAATTTGATAGGGCTAGTTTAAGCAATATTATAGTAGTACATGTTATGTAGATTTCATGTAACTCATGTTCATAATACAATGCAAATCAATGTTGTAAAAATGATAATTTTGCAGAAAAAGTTTTTTCATGCATTTTGGAATATTTGTCTATATTGGATTTGATCAATATGAAAATGTGAAAGATTGCAGAATTCCAAAATTCCTCTCAGTTTACTTGAGATGGTATCAGAATGTCGAATTCCAATTTCTAGATGAACTACTCATTACATTAGAAACATAAAAGATATCCGAAATGCAGTTTTACTAAGGATAAACTTACCCAATACGGTTTTCAATATTAGTGCTGCTTGCAATATTTGGTGTGTAAGTAGAAAAATTACAATAAAAATAAGAATGAACCTAGCCATGGGTGAAGTTCTTCGAACGCGTGGTGCCATGTAAAAAAATCCTATTCCGTTTTATTGGGATTAAAAAGTTGTTCGTCACAACAAAGTTTTATGATTTTTCAAGACACATTTATTGATTTTTTCAAAATGCGTTTATTTATGTGTTGCACGTGATCGGATACTTATGGAACTACCCCAGTGGCACCGACAGATTTTTACTGATCGACTATTTTTTTAAAGTAAAAAAACGCTACATTAGGGTTAGGTTTACAATTATAACGAGGGTTGTTTTATACTAGAATTTTGCAAGGAATTTTTTTTACTAATGCGCAGAAAGTGGTTACATAGACGAAATTTTGAGTTATAGCGGTTTTTT